ATAGAAGTTCAGCAAAAAGGCGGCTGACGAAAGAATACGCCCTGTCAATTATTCGTCCAGTACGATTTGTGATCTCATAAAGAGTATCCCATGCCTTAAACTCAATCGAAAACTATAAAAAAATATATATAATTCTATTTACTTTATGACTTTAATAAAAAATAATTAACAAAAACTGCTCAAAATAAATAATATAATAGGGCAATAGCAAGCACGAAAGGAATAAAACATACCCATTTGTAAGAATGTGCAATATTTGCAACTAGTTCTATCCTGGTAATAAGTGGCCTTACTGACTTAGGAGGTCGACACCTATTTGACACATACTCCTCGTAAATAAAATCGACAAATTTAAATAGATGGGAAAATAACTTTTCCGTGTTGAAGACAGTAGGCAAGCCTGAATAAACCTTATCATCGTTAACCTTAGATGGAGAATCAATAAGATTTGAATCAAAAATGTTGAGTTTTGACGATTCAGGAACCAGCTCTTTAAACTAGATTTGATTAGCTCATTTAGTGTTAAACACAATACCAAGGAGTCGATCCTGCCAAATTCAGCAAAGAAAGGATTAAGAGATAAGAGTCGAGACGAGGTTTCAGAGGCCATTGGAATTGTAAATCACAGATAGAGCAAATCAGCCCAATGGGCCAAGTCGTTCAGATGAAAGACCCACCAAAATGGTAAAATAGACGTTCAATTCTTGTGCTATATTTGTTAGTAAATCACACTAAAAATTGTTATATTTTGTTTTTTTTTAATATAGCTACATATTAGTTTGGGTTTGTTTTAAACGTTACAAGCTGCACTTTCGGTCGCATTCCTTCCAAATGTCTATGGCACGTTACGACAGGCAGATCGGAGGTTATCGTATATTCATAGGAGGAATAGATCCCCGTGTTGGTAAGGTAGACCTCGAGCGAGAGTTCGACCGCTTCGGTCCCGTTGTCGACGTTTGGGTGGCTCGCAATCCCCCGGGCTTTGCTTTCCTGGTCTTTAAGTACTCGGAGGATGCTGAAAAAGCCGTTCGCAGAATGGACGGAAGGTTGGATTCAATTCTCTAATGTTTACTTTAGCCGTCCCTTCGGCACCCGCCTAAGAGTTGAGCACGCCGTCAACACCTCCAGACGCGGGCAGAATAAGTGAGTTTGTGCTTTTGTTTGTGGGCCTCTCACCTCCTTATCTTCGACTTATCCGTTGTTCATTCGTCAATTTTTTCTAAAATCAAGACCCGCATGGCCAAGGCCTGTCCATACGACTGCGTTCTCGCGCTACCTACGTCACTACCTCCTAGACACCTGTCTCCGCTTCACCGTTTCGCATTCGTTTCGCCCTCTCCCCTCCGCTACTACACTTCCCCAGCCAGAGGCGTCGTTCTGCCCCTGCCTGTCTGCGCAACAACGCTTTTCTCCGATTTTTACACTCATGTTCACCTAGCAAGAAAATACGAAACAGGGGCGGTGAGTCTAGCCCCTAATTTCTTAACGACTCGAAAGCTTGGGAGAGTGAGGCTAATTTTCCTTCGGCATAGCAATAGCGTACTAGGCCCCCAGAGTATTGCGATTCACCTTCGTTGGTGTCTTGCTAGGGTGGTTGTCGGTTTGTGCTTTCTCTTTCTTTTGGGTTCACCGTCTTTTCTATTTTGCTTCCAGTTCTCGCCTTCGTGGCTTCTCTCGGTCTAGATCGAGGTCTAGGTCGCGCTCGCGCTCACGCTCCAGGAGGTCCAGCCCGAAGCGTTCTAGATCTCGGGGTTCAAATAGGCGTCGCCCAAAGAGGTAGGGATAGTTTGTTCTCTATATATTATTTTCCCTGTCTGATTACTTTTGCTTTTAGGTCCCCGACCAAAAGTCGCAGTCGGAGCCGTGATCATCCGCGTGAACGGGATCGCCCAAAACGCAGGTCTAGGGAGCGTTCAGACGATAGGCACCGATGTTCATCCAATTCAATTTCACGTGACAGAAGAAAAAAAAGGGATTCGGGTGAACGCGAAGAATCACGAAACCTTCAGCATCGTCGTTCTTCATCCGGTCGTCGCCGCTCCGATAGAAATGGAAGGGAAGATTCCCGCTCTTCGCGCCGTTCACCTGTGAGGGACATCCGTGAAATGCCGAAGGGCAGACGGACTCGCAGCCGATCCCGCACGCGGTCTCGAAGTTTGAGATCCCGCTCCATGACCCATGATGCCTCTCCAAACCGCCAACGGAGCAATTCATACAGAGAACGAAGTCTCGATCATAGGGACCGCAGGGATAGCAATGAACCACGTTCAGGCGAAGATGGCTATGGATCCCACTCTAGATCGGGCTCTAGGACCCGCTCGCATACTCGTGAAGGGTCTGGTCGGTCTCGGACCCTTTCTGACAGACATGAATCTGGCGATGAAGTTGGTCAGTATGTTGTCCACTTACCCTAGGAACGTATTCCATAGCTAATCTTTCTTTCTATTTTTAGGCACCCACAGTGATCACAGCGAAGATTGATCTTTTAATTCCCTGTCTGTATTTTATAATGACTAATTCAAGTAAATGACTCCAAAATTGTTTTGTTTTCTCTTCGCACACTCTAGGATTATGTTTGGCATCCCCTCTTGTATACTAGCTGGTGTTTGCCCTATCCCGTTCCTTCATTTGCTGCTAGTGGCTTGTTCACGGACTCCAGTTTTGGTCGTCCAAGATTCACTTTCCCCGATGCCTACTCGTCTAATGTCCTGGGCATATTCCTCTCAGATTTCTTTGTTCAGTCACAGCATTCATTAATTTATTTCGGCTTTAATGCCTTTAGGTGTCTCTGAACGTTGTGACTTGTCCTTTCATCCACTGTCCCACGTGGCGTCCAATTCCTGTGTTAGTTCGATGTGTATTATTGGCTTCGCTCGCCAAAATTTGACCTTTGCCTTGGCCAATGCGATGATGATAGTTTTGCTTCTTTCCCAACTCGGCGCTTTGCCACGTTCTGGCGTTGCTTATTGTATAGAGGGTGCTTGGTATTTGCTCGAGGCTAGGCGACTACATGTACCTAACCGTGACTCATCATCCGGGATTAATTGTCCCGAA